CCCCGGGCTTTGCGGTGCTTTCTGCTGCAGCCACATTTTCCTGCAGTGCTCTGGGTGACAGCCGGTCCAGGCGCGGGAGGTGGGGAGCGGGAGAGGAGGGAAGGTGCATCCTCCCACCTGGCCCCATCTGGCTGGCCCCACCGCGGCCGCCCCCCTGCCGCCGTCGGCCGACTCTGCAGGTCTCTGCGGGCTTGAGGGGGGGCAGTCGTGACAGTTAGACGAGAGTGGAGCTCCTGGCCCCCTCCCCGTGGGCTCTTCCCTCTGCAGGGCAGCCAGATCTTCCCACCCGGATGGCCCCAGGGTTCCCAGGGCCACACCGGAGTGGGGGACAGGGTGTGCCCACCCCATTCCCAAGTCTCTTGCCCCATGGTGGGCATCTGCCTGCAGCTCTGGCCTTGTCTTCCTAGGTCTTGGGGCCCAGGGTCCAGCCGGAGCTCTGCACTGGGGTGGCTCACCCCAGGTGGGGGGCCCAGAAGCTCCTGAGATCACCCAGCCCAGCCGTCTGGTAGGGGAGAGCTCTGGTGGCGAGGTGCGGAAACAGCAGCTGGACACCAGGGTCCGGCAGGAGCGCCCCGGGGGGCCGGTGAGTGGACTGGGTGGGGAGGCTGGGCACTAAGCAGGCCTCAGAGCCTCAGGGAGGCCACGGGGAGCGTCCAGGCGCCTCCTCTGCAGCTGGTGCCTGCAGCGTCCCCTTCTGTGCAATGGGCTGTCAGGCGGGTGCTGGAGCCCACTTTTGGGGCATATTGGGTGGCTCCAGCCTCCTGTCATCTGGGGATCCCCTGTCCTCAGCATTCAGGAACCCTGGAATGCCCAAGTCTCTCTCCAGCTCTCGGTCAGCCTTCTACCCATCCCCTTCTCCTGGGTTGCCATGGCCAGATGGTTCTCAAAAGGGGGCTTGGAGAGGTCAGTGGGGGGCAAGGAGGAACAGCTAAGAGCCCAGTCAGCAGTCAGGGATCGGGGCCCCCAGACTCTTGACACCCTCAGTGGGCTTTCTTGGAACAGCACAGTGCTTGCTCCCGCCTCAGTTTCCCACTGCGCTCAGGCGGTCCTGTTCCCCTTTCCGTCCCAACTGAAGGGGGCGGCTTTGGGAAATGATCTGAGGCCCCAGGCGCACCCACAAATGCCAGTTCTCCCTGCCCCCGTCCTTTTCAGCTGCCAGGCCCCTCCTGCCTCCCAGAGGAAGGTTAGAAATGAAGGAGATTAATTGCAATTAATAATTAATTAATATCATGTGAATAATAATCACCCAGATGGAATATTCATTCAGCATGCCTGAGCTCTCCAGCCTGAAGCTGAAAGTTAGCCAGGCCAATGGGGGTGGCAGAGGGCTGGATGGCGGCGAAGGCCTGACGGAAAGAGGAGGTGTAGAGGAGAGACTCGGAGGGGGACAGCCCAGTGCTGGGACGTTTTGGCAGCTGGGAGTGGTGGGAGGTGAATTGGGCTGGGCAGAGGGAGGAAGGAGGGAAACGGAGGCTAACATTACGGACATCTGTCAGACTGGCATCTGGCCCTGCCTAATGTACTTGGTTAAAAGCCCTTAAGGGGGGTGCGGAGGGGGATGTGGGGTGGTGCAGGGGTGGGGCGTGCTGGTGAAATGGAATGGAGCAGGAAGGAGCATGCATAATAGATGGACCATCACTCCGGGCAGTGCTCAGGGCAGGGGGAGGGGAGGGGCTAATGGTCCCAAGCTGGCTGCTGGCGAGGTGGTGGGGGTGAGGGTGGAGGCTGCTCCTACCCAGGCTCCCTGGGAGGTGAGTGGATGGGCCCTGGGGATGGCCCCAGGGTCCTGGCAGCTGTTTGGCACTCCCCACCCGTGAACCTCACAGCCCACGGTTGGGTTGCGCTGGTAGGAGGTGATGCCCTGATGACCCAGCCTGACTGCTGGGATTCTGGCTTGTGCTTCAGAGGGACATGCAGATTCGGGGGTGAATGATGCCACCTCGGAATGAGGGGACAAGTTGAAGGAAGCATGGGGCAGGGATGAAAAGTGGGGTGTTGGGCTGGGTAGGGCACCCTTCAGCCCAGTCCTTTATGAACAGAGTGGCGAGGGCTGGCGTTTGGGCAGATCAGTGTGGTTGCAGATGGACTGGATGTATTGGGGTCTCTTTGGCTGTTGTTCAGCTGGGGGATGAGTGTCATGTGCACGTGACTGCGTCCCAGTACACCTAAATGGGTCTAGGGGTGTAGGGTGGGAGTGGAGAGTTCTGTGCATCTGTGGTCACCTCCACTGGGGGTAGCTCTGGGACTGAGGGATCCCGGGGACTTTACTGCAGCCTCCTCAAGGGACCTCCTCAGGGACCCTGCCTTATTGGGCCTTGGTTTTCCCTGAGGCGGAGGAGCTATCCCAGGGATGGAGGGGCTGCAGACAGCAGACTTCTTTGGACCATGCACTCTGCTACCGCCTCGTGTGCACAATCCACCCTGAGGTCTCCCGGCTCTGACTTCTGCCTGCCCCATTTTGTAGATGAGGAAACGGAGGCCCAGAGAGCTTAGACAACTTGCCCGAAGCCAGTGTGTCTTAAGGCCCCTTCTCCAAGACCAGGGCATTTCTCGCTGCACTGCTCTGCTTCAGGGCTCTCTGGATTTGGGCCCGGGGGGTGGGGGCACTTCTCCAGCCCCACCCAGAGCAAGGAGGATGGAAAGACACCAAAAGAGACAAAAAAAGATGCGTCCAGGATATTTCCCTGACTCGGAGGGCATTTCTCTCCAGGTCTGGGGTACTCAAGCCCTGGAATCGTGGGGGCTGACACCAGGCACCTGGCGCTGTGTCCCAGGAGCAGGAGCCAGCCCGACACTGCTTGGGTTCTGTGCTAAGTCACTGCGGTGGTTTGGCACCTTGGGCTGAGCAGCAGGATCTGTGGGTCACGGGGTGAGTCTGGGGGCATGCACTGGCTGCCAGTGCCAGATGATGGGGCACTAACCCGCCCTGGCTTTGGGCTGCCCACTCACTTCCTAAGCCTTACTCAGTGATGCTCACATCTATTTCAGCCTCCCTAGGACTTTGTGCCTTGAGGACCCCTGCCTTGGTAGGGGTGGGGCTGGGCTGGGGGAAGGGAGTAGGAAGGTGACAGACCAGAAAGGAATTCGAAGCCAGAGGAACTGCAGTTTGCTAGGGTCTGACTGGGGCAAGCCCTCTCCCGCCTTTAGCCTTTACGTGTATTATTCATTAACCCTCATCACAACCAGGAGCTGGGGCTGTTCTTATTTCCATTTCACAGGTGGGGAAACAGGCACAGAGAGGTCAAGTAACTCCTCAGGTCACACAGCACTTTCAGTAACAAAGTGGCCAATGTGCTGCCTGCCTCTTGTTCAGAGGTATGGCAGAGGGACACAGGGCACCCTTTGCCTTCTTTTTGCCACTGCTCTCAACGCCTCACTTTTGTCCAGTTTGGAAACAGGTGGGGCCTGAGGTCCAAGAACTGGGGGAGTATCTAGAAGTACAGAACCCTACGGCCACAGGGAGCCTGCAGCTGAGGGCTGAGGCAGGAGGCCAGGCAGGGCTGCCCTGTCCCGTTGGGCTGGTGGTTCACTGCACAGGAGCGCCTGGGCAAGGGGCAGACGTGCTAGTGGAATTCACGGGCTCACAGGCTGCTTGTGTTCTGAGGCAACACCTTTTCTAATTCATTCAGAGCTGCTGTGTGGTCGGGCCTGTCCGTAGGGGATCCCTGTCCTCAGCAGAGGATCTCCAGACCCCCTGGAGCCAAGGCAAGGGCAGCATGTGGGGAGGTGAAAAGGATCAGGAGTGAGAGGTCCCAGGCCCAGAGACAGACATCCGAACTGGGCTGAGCTCACGGGAGCATCGCCCAGGCCTGCACTTACCGGAAAACCACCCGGGAAGCCCTCAGCGGAGGCCAAGGGCGTGAGCTAGTGTTTGTGTTTTCTTGCTGCGCCAGGGTCAGGGGCAGCTGAGTGACCCCAGGCCACAGCCCTTCAAGGTGAGAGTCACGGGGAGGGAGCCACAGGATCTGTGCCTGGCACCTCGGTGGGCCCAGGCCACACTTTGGTCTTTGCAGCCCAAGTTGCAGCTCTTCCTGGGCGAGGGGACAGGAGGGCTCTTGGGAAGGGCTGTTGCTGGAAGTCCGGGCTCCGAGTATCTAGAAGTACAGAAACCTACGGCCACAGGGAGCCTGCAGCTGAGGGCTGAGGCAGGAGGCCAGGCAGGGCTGCCCTGTCCCGTTGGGCTGGTGGTTCACTGCCCAGGAGGGCCTGGGG